GAAAGATGGAACACACTAGTTGTGCGGACAATCAAGCCAAAAATAGGATGACCATGTCTTGGAGGGACAGCCTAGACTCCATGGGCATCCAAAATCAAACACAAAAAGAAAAGATGATGTTGAGGAAGGATTGGTGACAAAACAGGCAAGTGTATAATTAATTAAGCAGGCGACAGAGAGTGTTGTGCAGAGGAACAGAAAGGAGACCGGCAGCAGTAATTCCCAACCCGTCCGCAAATGCTGCCACCGCCATGCTGTACTCTTTGTGGGCCGGTTCCGTCTAAAAGGATATAATAATGACTTTCCTTGGAAACGTAATATGCGTACCCAGAGATGTTTCACGTATTTTAAGCAAAAAGACAGACATGCGCTTCAAGAGACATCTATTGCTGCTAACTTAGAAACTGAAAAGAACCAGGTGCAGCAGCATTCATCACAGAGCTCCTTTCAGAAGACCAATGTACAAAGCGAATTTTACAATTTTGTTCGAAAGTAAAAAAACAGACTTGGATTCACGAGATCGGAACAAGACTTTCCAAACGTCCAAGTTGAATACCATTCACTTCAAAATTAGAATATATGTTTAGAATTGAAAAGCTAGTTCTGTACCGCAATCTATTTTAATGAACCTCTAACTTAAGTGCAAGCTAAGGGTCTACATGATAGTATTGAGTAGGATAGGACAAGTACCTGTGTTCAACGTGCAATACAATTGGGTCAGTTTCGAAAAGTGTACTTTTAGGTTCTTCATTAAATGAGTCAATAAATGCTTAAATTGGAAAACTAATGACATTCAACAGGCGCCGTAAACAATCTTGAAATGTACTACTACTAACCCTGGGCAAAAAGCACCCCATAAACCAAGGAACGACGTCAAACCCGTTGGAATTCCGCTTCAGGCTGTAGTTAGGAAACAATCCGCGCATGGTCATAAAGTCTCAAGGATCAGTTATCAAATAGGGATTTTAGGAATGATCTACAGTATTGCGAGTGCTGCAAGAAACTTCCTTGACGAAATTTAACTCGGTAGTTTAGCATATATTTTGCCAGGTTATTTTGATCAACGGCGTGGATTTAATAATTAGAAAGGCTGTAGTTTGGAAAATGCCCTCTTATTTAGAGTTATGGAGCGAAATAGGCACTAATTTTGGCTAAATTATGTGTAAGTTTATAACAAAGAAATTTCCTGTGCTATAAGGTATGACACAACCAAGCTTTTTATTAATATGCATTGTGCTATGGACGAACCCCAGAATAAGTAGAAAAAACTGGAAAATTTTTTGAGAAGTTGAGCAAATGGAAGTGAAGCCAATTTTAAGGAATCGCATTTATTTTCAGAAACAAGCAAGAACTTAAGTTTTAAAAATTATGTTCGGCTATCCTGTGAAGTTCTTTTGCACAAAATGCAATAACAAAAAGTTTCGTCAGAAATTCTGTTTAACCGCACAGCTGTCCTTGCGCATAAGCAAAGTGTTGCATATGTTACCGCGAATGTAATGTAAAGAAGGCCTTACTGAATGTAAGTCATGTAGAAATATAGTTTTATGTAAACTATGCGTTCTGCTTATGCGTTATTTAGAAAAGGAACAGACAGAAAAATAGTAAGTATTTCAAAAATGGCCATATATATGACCAGTTTTTTTTGCAATTGCAAGCTTACAACAGATCATGGAATTGATCCACTTATGCGGAAGACAATCCATTAGAAAGGGAACAGTAAGGTCTTTCATTTCCAGTCAAACTGAATCATTTATCTTCAGGTAACTTAAAGATATTGTCAAAAGTATCTAATTATTTTGTGACATTACCTTGGAAAAAGTTAATATACACAGAAATTCGTCTGCCAAATATCTAATCAAAGCACTTTTTAAAGAGATAACCTTTTAAGGAAAGTTTTATTAATCTTAGGAATAACAATATCAGAATCACATTGCGGACATTACTTATTCTCGACAATGTGGTTTGCTGTTTTGAGGCATTTCTTAATATGAGCAACATGGGCATCTTCATAAAAACGAATATCCAAAAACTATTTCGGTAAATGCTCTTTTTATTTTAAAGGTTTTGGTGTAAACTTCGAACAGAAGTGCAATTGATCAACGAAGACACTGAAAACGAAGAAAATAATGACAGACTTTATTCGACGATATTCAATAAATAGTTATCCACTAATGCTAATATGTACAAAATATTTGGACTAAAGAAACGTTCTTTTTATATAAAAAAAAATTGGTTCCATTCCGTTTTCAACTAATAAAATATTTAAATTTATTGTTCTAATTTATGGCTATATTTTACATCGCCGGAACTTGGGGTTTATCGGAAAAATTTAATTTTTTTACAAACACTTAT